TGCATTCATTTAGAAGTGAGGACTTGAAAATAAAACAACAAAATGGTGACCTGATTTTCCTCCATGCTTTCCTTCTCAAGCAGTGAACTGGTCAATTGGCCACAGTGCTCATTCACATCAGACCCTTCATGCTCTGGTACAAGGGGTCTGAATTACTACCCCATGTTGACAGACACATAACATCCATTTCTTCAATTTGTGGGCAGGCTGCAGACAGCTTCCACATGTATCACGTCTGAGCTCTTCAGGACTCTTGGCAGTGTGTCTTTGGTGCTGGGGTCTGTGGTCTTCAAAGGGAGTCCATCTACCATAACCATTTTCCAGGGGAATGTTTGGTGATTGAAAACACCATGTCGTCTGGCATTTATGCCTTTTCCACCAGATGATTTTGGGTCTGCCCACTGGGGGCTAGATTATTCCATTGTCAACCTATATGGTTCCAGGTTTAAGTTGACAAAAGTGACTCTGCATGACACTTTAGGAGGCAGAAGAGAAACCACAGCCACTGTCCTGAAGGTCATTGTTGAGTGTGGGGCCGGAAGTGCTAGAGAGTTCCAGTGTGTCCTCACCCCTTCCCACTCCATATCCATCTGTCCTTCCAAGCACCAGCGCTGCTGCCCAGTGGCAATGCCAGCCCTACCCCCACCAGAGGCACTGCATGTGGACTCACACAGGCGGTAGCTTCAAAGAGCCAATGACCTTCGGATTGATACCAACCTCTTGTCAGCTTCTCAGTGTAGATGCTCCATGTGCTTTGATTCAAGATTTCCTACAAATTCTGACTCAGTCACCAACACTAGGGCTGCCTAATGGCTTTTATCCAAATATTCAACACCATTTTCAGGCACTTCCTTCCCCATCTTTGCCCACAAGGTCTAACGTCTATATTAAATATTTAGTTCTAAAATGTTCATAGTGGATCTGCTTCTCTGAGCCCTGTCTGATACACCTATGAACTCGGGATGTTACATTCTTCTGCTCATATTCTGGGGTTTCCTGTCGGGACACCTTACTATCAGATTCTGCTTGCACCTCACTTGGCTTTCCTTTGGGGACCATCTGGATTCTGCCCATCCTTCTTTTTTGCTTTGAGCCTCTTGTCCTGGAAGTGGCATCTTTAGATACTGCTTCCTGCCACAACCCAAGACTGACTCTATTTCTCACCCTCTCACCAGCGTTTGACAAAGGTTGCTAGTCACAAAGAAAGCAGGTCACCGAATGTTGTATTTATGCTACTAAAGAATTTAAGGCAGTATGAAGAAGGCTTTGCTTTCTGTGGCTGGAAACTTAAAGATGGGGTTTGCAGGGGAAATAAAGATAAAAGAGCCATAGTTCAAAGAGCAGTGACTCTTGCTGGAGCCATGAGAACAATAATTATAGGTTGTAGGTTAGCCTGCTTTGGGTGCCAATTTCTAGCTCATAATCGTATGTGATGTTATGAATGCTTCTTTTCAATCTTGGTACGGTGGCAGAATGCTAGTTTCTAAACCTCCTTGGGATGATCATATGGTCATAAAATCCTGGCAATAAAATGAGCACTCTGATATTTTTACAGTTAATGTACTGTGTACACTATTTATTTATTATTATTTTTGTGAGACAGAGTTTGCTCTGTCGCCCAGGCTGGAGTGCAGTGGCACAATCTCGGCTCACAGCAACCTCTGCTTCCCAGGTTCAAGCGATTTTCCTGCCTCAGCCTCCCAGAGTAGCTGGGATTAGAGGTATGTGCCACCACTCCTGGCCAATTTTTTGTATTTTTAGTAGAGATGGGGTTTCTCCATGTTAGTCAGGCTGGTCTCAAACTGCTGATCACAGGTGATCCACCTGCCTCATCCTTCCAAAGTGCTGGGATTACAGGCATGAGCCATTGCGCCAGGTCATACACTATTTTCTAAAGGAGGGGGGGATATAGGGCGTTTTATCAGTTCAGCGTTTCTAGACATGTACTTTTGACTTCCTATTGGCAGCTCTGTAAGGGTAGAAGTTGATTAAAAAAAAGACTGATAGCAACATAAATAATTCTTGTTAGAGAATAATGGAAATGATTCCAGCTCATCATAATGCAAATGGATTTTGTCTGGTAGAGATGCAATTTATTTTCCTCTAATAGAAAAGATAACCCCCAAACATTATAGTTTGTTACTATTTAGAATATTAAAGTTTTACATTTGTTGGCAAGTTTATTTCAGCATTTTTTTGACTGACCATATGAATCTGTTTCTTTAAATAATTTTGAATTTTATTTTAGATTCAGGGGTACACATGCAGGTTTGTTACACGGTTATCTTGCATGACACAGAGGTTCGGGGTGTGAGTGGTCCCATCACCCAGGTGGTGAGTATGGTACCCCATAGTCAGTTTTTCAGTCCTTGCCCCACTCCCTCTCTTCTGCCTCTAGTAGACTCCAGTGTTTAAATCTGTTCTTCAAATTCTCTTTTGAACCAGTGTTAACATTTTACAGGTTCCCTCATGAATTAATGAGTCACATATAATTTTGACATGGATATGATTTCTATTTCTTTGAGAGTCATGTTTTTAACTTTTTTTTTTTTTTGAGACAGTCTTGCTCTGTCATACAGGCTGGAGCACAGTTGCATGACTTCGGCTCATTGCAACCTCCACCTCCCTGGTTCAAGTGATGCTCCTGCCTCAGTCTCCCAAGTAGCTAGGATTATAGGCACCTGCTGCCACACCCAGCTGATTTTTGTATTTTTAGTAGAGATGGAGTTTCGCACATTGGCCAGGCTGGTCTCAAACTCCTGACCTCAGATGATCCACCCGCCTCAGCCTCCTAAAGTGCCGAGATTACAGGTGCAAGCCACCGTGCCTAGCCTTTAACTTTTTGAAAAGCTCATTTCATTCACATTTGTTTGATGGTATTTATGTGATGTGAAGACAACTGAGTTTGAGGTTTTAACTGTAAACCCAATTTCAAAGTGCAGCTCTCTTAGTCTTAACTTCTCTTCATACATACGCTAAAACATTTGGATGTCTTAACACTGACTGTGCTTGGCTCTCCTGACACGGATGAGGATATGCAGAAACTCCTGGGATTTGGAGAACCAAATCTTTTGGCTCTTTTTTAAAGATAAAATGGTAAGAAGAGGGGACCGGGCAACCACCAGTGACTTATTACAGTAGAACCAATGGTTAAGAAGTAGCACAGGATTTATTTTATAAAAACAGATGAAGAAAACAAATCAATTACACAATTGCACAAGAGAACTAAAACCATGAGGATTCATTCCTAATTCCTCTCTTTGCTTGTTCAATGGATCTTATTATCCAATTATTTACCAGACTTATTTATGATTGGGCGTTGTGCAGTCTTTCTACGGAAGTCCCTTGATGGGGGGATCTCCCATAGTGCCTCACATCCCAGTATTCTTGCAGTCTCTTCCCTTCCCTTCTTCCATGTCCCTGAAGGTGACCTGCTTTTTCTCCACTGTCTGGAAAGTTCAGCGTGAGTGTACACTTGCGGAGGCACGGGCACACACTCACACAGGCACCCACAGACACAAGCACACGCTCCTCCATGACTCCTGCTCATCCTTCGGCTCAGACAGCATTTCTCAAGGAAGCTTTGAGGCCACTCCAGCCCAGAGCAGGCCTTCCTGTTTAGCACCACACAGACTCTCTGCTTTTCCTTCTGAGCTCTTGTATGTGATCATTTGTCTCTCTCCCCCATTGTCAATAAAATCCGGGATCATTGTATCACTGCTGTATCCCCAGACCTGGCAGGATGCCTAGTACATAGAAGGTGTTCTTGAATGAATTAATAAGAACTCAATGCCTGTTTGTTACAGTGATGAATAGATGGCTGTTTGGTCTGTTATGGTCCCAAAAAGCAAAAGAAGCTGTTAAAATAGTGTGACTCCGACTTACTGTTCATGTCTGAATAAAGGAAACCATTCAAATTTTGGACTGAGTTTGACAATCTGCTATGTTGGTGAATTGTGAGGAATCATTTCCATACATTTCTAAGGGGAACTGGTAAACCTGGGAGAAGAATTTGGCAAAAGCTTTAAAGATTACAGATTTAAAAACCTTTTGACCCAATAATTTTACTTTCAGAAGCATTTCTCTACTTACGTTTGCACGTTCATAAAATTTTCTGTGTTCCAGGATGTCTACTGAACATTCCGCAGGATGTTTCTGGAAGTATCTGCAATAAACTGGTGGCAGCAGTTGCTTTGGGAAGGGGAGGGATGTGGCTGAAGGGCAGGGGTGAGGCGGAGACTTGGGTTTCACAACATGTATATTTTTAAATTTGTAATTTTGTGCCTTGATCATGCATGACCTAGTCCAGAAACTCACAAGTGTAAAAAAGTTACTATGTAATAACTACAAAAAATACTTATTCACGGGAGTTAGATCTGGATTAAGTTTTACTGATGTTCCTTTGATTTTGTCAATCCCAAATTTTCACACATGTACTGTCAATGTATCATTGGCTTAAGCAGACCCTGAAGCTCATTCCTTCTCTCCTCATCACCCCAAACCTTTCGGTCTTTGCAGCACTCCCAAAGTCTTTTCTAATTTGGAAACAGGAGACTCCTTCTATGTGAGGTCCAGAGACAAGATTGCATCTAGATGCACATTGAGGTCCGTGACATAAAATCTCACCACTCTCACGAAACCTGCCCAGTGCATCCTGGTCTCCTGTATTGACCTTCACATCCTTGCCGGCCTTGTCATGCCAATAATGTTAGAAGGTTATTGCAACTAAATTGAATGAGCATGTGGCTATGTCCTCCAAATGTTTTCTGATACAGTTAAGTGGAAAACTGTAGGTTACATTTGTTTATTTTGTGATAAACCCTTTGTTTCTGTTGCTGGTGATCCAGAAAAAGTGGTCTCCTGCAACACGCCACACCCTAAACAAGGACAAGTTGAATTACTCTTTCATTTACCATAGGAGACTCTCCACCATGTGTTTAGCAGCAGTGATTTCTGACATAGATTAAGAAATGATAAATTACACCCAACGGAAACAAAGAGAAACTCAGAATTTTATAGCGGATAATTGTAAAGAAAACAGTTATTTGCATCTCTGTCTCCCACATTTGTGAAAGACAATGTACTTGAAACGAAAATGACCCAAGAATAGTAAAAACAATTTCATTTTCATCTTATAATTGGAAACATTTGGAGAAAGCACTTTATCTACTCAGGCTGCATATTTATGGCTTCGTTTTACAAGGGGAATGTTACCATACCTTTGCCTCTCACTTCATTGTTACTGCAGTTTTCACAAATGACCTATATTATGTCATTTAAAAAAATGTCACAAGTCCAGCAGCACTCCTGTACATGCAGACACCAATATGGTTGGCCTTTGTGTTGAAAGACATTCTATGGTGTGCTAACCTTGTCTGCAAGGTCATATAGAAGTGGGAGGCAAAGATAGCCTGCTTTCCACATCGTTTTCAGTGATAATAACAATTTTGTGGCCAAGTTACATGAGGAAAACATGAACTTCTGGTTATACAAAACCATCATAAAAATCCAGATTGGTATGAAAACACTCACAGGGTATTCATACCTCGAAGGACAACTTTTTAAAATACAGGTTGACAGTTCTGAATCCTCCTTTTCCTTCAAATTATCTCTTAATTATTTAAAACAGCATTGAAAAATCAAATGTATGTTACTTTATCAATGAGACAAATGCTTTTATTGTTAAGAACAAGGAACAATTTCTACTTTCAGAAACATTGACTTTAGAATTGTATGAACATTTTGAAAACTATTATCATTATTTTTAACAGTTCCCAGAATTTGTTCCACTCATGTTGACTAACCTCAAGCTGCAGATACATTAATTTAATGATCCGGGAACACATTCTCCAGCTCAATTACCCCAGCAGGTTCACTGACAAGCCATGTTTTTTTCAAATCAGTTGATCCAAGATAGGGATACTGAAGCTCTATGGGTAATTAATTATTTCTGTTTAAAAAGTTTTACTCATCAAAACCACCTTAGCCAGGGTTCATGGCATTCTTCTCTGAGAACTCAATTAAGCAGTTACTCGCATGTGGTGGTTTACTGAAAATTCTGACTCCACGCGGGCCCCGCTCCTGCTCACCTCTGAACTCGTTTTCCTGACTGGACTCCTCGTTTTCACCACAGAGTGTTAATCTCACCCACCACTTCTCCACTTGTTTAAAGTTCACAAATTCTCTCCTTACACTGGTAGAAGGCAAACCATTTTCAACAGCAAGAAGTACAAAGTCTCACTTCCAGAAGCATGGCGATACAGTTATGTCACTGCTTACTTGATAAGACTCTGCCTAAGAATCTGCAGGAGGGCTGCCTCTAGAGTGCACTGCCAGCTCCACAGCAGCAAGGACCCACACTCACTGTTTTCTGTCTTGACCCTCTCGGCTAGTTGGCTTTTCAGTTGCATTTCTATTTCTTACCACACGATAGCTACCATTGCAGCAGCCATCACATTCAGGTTCAACACGGGAAGGAAGAAGAGGCCATAGCAACACCTTTCTCCTCACATCATTCACTTTGTCACTAGAGACAAAGATTTCCTAGGAGCTCCCAAACCTATTTCCCCTTAGTCTTTTTGACTACATCTATGTCATCTGGCCACTCCTCGCTGCAAGGAAGCCTAGGAAATGCACCATCAGGCTTTCATTTTTAAAAGAGAGGCAAAGGAAATGGGGTTGGGAGTAGCTATTGAGTTAGCCAAGTAATGAATGGCCGCCTCAACAGCAATCCGGCAAACGGATTGCTGGAGCTCCTGAGCCTGGTCAGAGCACCAGCCTGAGCTCATCTCCCCTCCAGCTTATGTGTGGCCGGGCATTGTTTCCACTCATCCCGAGACTCTGACATCTAGCTTTGAGACCTGCTGAATCACTAAAGATCACGTTTCTGCCCTTTGCAGAATCACTGTCGCTTACTTCAGTAGCAGTACTGCACCCAGAACTTTCATGGACTCTCTTATACTGCAGGACCCAGGCCCATGAAAGCTACTATGGAGCTCTGCTGTAATGATCTTGTTGAGAACCGTTTCCATGCACTGCTCACTGCTCCTTACTGCCATAGATAAGCCATGAGAGTTTTCTTTCAGAATTTGGTGCTGGGAAAGATTTGCTTCCTCTGGGGCAAGTCTGTCCAACCCACGGCCTGCTGGTTGCATGCAGCCCCGGTTAGCTTCCAATGCAACCCAACACAAATTCGTAAACTTTCTTAAAACATTATGCAATTTTTTTTTCTCATCAGCTATCATTAGTGTTGGTATATATATATATATTTCTTGAGACGGAGTCTTGTTCTTGTTGCCAGGCTGGAGCGCAGTAGCGCAATCTCAGCTCACTGCAACCTCTGCCTCCTGGGTTCAAGCGATTCTTCTGCCTCAGCCTCCCTAGTAGCTGGGATCACAGGTGCACGCCACCACGCCCGGCTAATTTTTGTATTTTTAGTAGAGACAGGGTTTCATCATGTTGGCCAGGATGGTCTTGATGTCTTGACCTCGTGATCCGCCTGCCTCGGCCTCCCAAAGTGCTGGGATTACAGGCGTGAGCCACCATGCCCGGCCAGTGTTGGTATATTTTATGTGTGGCCCAAGACAATTTTTCTTCTTCCAGTGTGTCCCAGAGAAGCCACCATGCTCTAGGGAAATTAGTGCACCATCTTCTTCCTGATAACACAGATAACGTAAAGCGTGGTCTCTTTCCTATCCTTGGGCTCCAGGAAGCGCAGATCCAAGTTTGAACCACAGCTGTAATGAGTGTGCTGCACCCCGCAACCCGGATCTGTTTGTCTTCTCGTTCTTCAGGATCTGGGGTTCATTTTGCTATTTTTTTTTGTTGACTTTATTTTGTTATAACCCATCACACATTTTCTATAGAGAAGGGGTAATCAGTAGATGGGGAAGAAACAGAGAAACATTTATTTCAGCACATTTTATGAAAGCAAACTCCGAGTGCTGAAATAATCACAACAGTAAATCAAAGGGGCCATTGGTGGAGAGTAGGTTGACTGCGAATAGACATTATTTCTCAGTCTATAAAATACTTCCAGTATAAGTGGATCTCTACCAACCAAAGGTTGGGTTCTAAAATCTCCATTTTTATATTTGTTGTACTATTTCTCACTGTTGATATTTTTGTTTTTAATTTCCCCAATTTTTCTTTTCACTAATTTAATGCTTATAAAATGCCAAATGATCAATAATGACATATGTTGATTTTCAAGACTGGCCAGTTGCCCATCAAATACGCATCCTTTTCTTCTGTGTGGACAAAACCTCGATTTAGTTGGGGATGCCAAAGTGCCCACCTAAAAAGCCTGTATTTCCCAGCTCCCCTTACAGTTAGGATTGACCACTTGACCTGATTCTGGCTCTGAGATTAGCTGGAATTTGCTAGGAGGGATTCCTGGGAAAACCCTTCAAATGGGCAGATGCAGCTGATACCTTAGGTTGAGTTCCCTCGAGAAGGGGCTTGAGACAAACTTGGGTGCAGGTGGTTTATCTGGGAGGTGGTCCCAGATAACAGAAATGAGGAGAGAGAGGGAAAAAAGAAGAGAGAAAAGCAGTGAAAGAGGCATTAATAAGCCAGTTGCCAGGGAGTGCCTCAGTCTGGTTGGGACCCTGCAAGGAGTGCTGTGGGCCATGGCTCGCGATCATGTCAGTGGAGGACAGATCACGAGGTCAGCAGTTCAAGACCAGCCTGGCCAACATGATGAAACCCCATCTCTACTAAAAATGCAAAAATTAGCCAGGTATGGTGGCAGATGCTACTTGGGAGGCAGAGGTTACAGTGAGCCAAGATTGCTCCAATGCACTCCAGCCTGGGTGACAGAGCAAGACTCCATCTCAAAAAAAAAAAAAAAAAAAGCTTCTAAGGAAACCTCCCAATAGTGACCCAGGCCAGGAGAGTCCCACTACCATGGTCTTGAGACATGTGCTCCCACCCTTCAAAAATTGCTTTTACTCATTGTGAACCTTTGCGTTTTAAAGTTTACACCGGGAGATTTTCATAATAAATTTGTCATTGTGAAGGATGTCATTTCTGGCATATGATAGACACTGAAATTTGTGGTGGTCACCAGACAATGCTCCACCCAGACCCCTCATCAAGAAAAGACTTGTCCCCACTCCCTGTACTGCTAGAAGCATTGCCAGCTTGCTGCTGGGTTAGGGTGGCCTCAGGTGCAGAGCTGCCTGGCCCTGGCTCATGCCCTTCCCCAGGCAGCCCCGCTCAATGACTGGCTGTGGTGGGAGTACAAGGCTTGAGGCAGGGGCAGGGCAATACTGATGACCTTTTCAGTGGCAGAGCTCCCATGGAGCTGTCAAGTCTGCAGGGGACCTGCATTGCAGCAAACGTCTCCCTCTCCCCAACTCCTGCTTCCTTCCCCTTTCTTTCTCAGGGGTTCCTCTCAAAGGCACCCCCCCCACAGACATTCTACGCATGAAACTCCAGTCTACAGTTCTCTTCCCAGAGACCCACCCTACAGCAGCTTTCCAAAATGAAATGGTCATCCTGTTCTGCTGCAGCAGATATACATAAATACATGCAAATTAACTTAAAAACAATCCTTAGTACCATAAGCTTTCAAGCTATTAAAGTGTGTCCTGAATTAAGTTGTCATTTCAAGTTGATGTCAAACATTATTGAAAAGAAAAGGTAATTTTGGGGGGAAATGTATCTGTGATGGACAGGAAGTTTTATGCTCCCTAGAAGGAAAGACCAACACTGGGGCACCAATGTTTGGATTACGTCCTTGTTGGGCACTCTGAAGGCTTTTCTACCCTGAAGCAATTCCCTTAAGAATATTCAGGAAGGATAAAGATATGCCTTGCTTTTGTAAAGTGGGAAAAGGCCAATTTTAAAAGTAAAGAAAGAAAAATCAACATACTACCGCCTGACCAATTTTAGAAAAGAGTACAGCTGCCAGTTCATTCTCCAAAACGCATCCAGGTCTGGATCGCAAATCGCAGAGCTATTAGGAAATGTGTGCAACCCCCATTTGAAGATCGTGTCCACTGTACAGAATCCTTCCACCCTGCATACTTTTCCTATTTTTGTTTCAGACATGTTGGTCATGTCAATCAATCACAAAGCACTCCCTGCAGGAACACTCCTTCTGTGGTGCCTTCTGAAGTGGCGCCCCTCTGCCATTGTGCACTGCACCTGCCGCAGTGGATTGGACCAGGGCCGGCCTCTGATTTCAGTCTGTCTTCGTTGCCCAGGCTGGAGTGCAGGGGTGCAATCATAGCTCACTGTAGCCTCCAACTCCCGGGCTCAGTTGGAGTTCCTCCCAGTTCAGTCACCCAAGTAACTGGGATTACAAGCATGAATCACTGTACCCAGCTGTCATCTGATTTGAAAACCAGCAATGTATACGCCAGCCAGTGATAGATGCTTGCACAAAACGATGCATTGAGCCAATCAGACGCTCCGTTTTGGAGGATTCTGCGTTGTGGACGTGGAGAATACCATGCAGTTAGAGAAGAAAGCAGGAGGTGAGTGGACCCAGGAGAGGAGCCAAAGGCCAGAGTCACAGCCACATAGGCCACTAGGTGGACGGGGGTGAGCCTCTAAGAAAAGGGAGATGGGGAGAGAAGTCCTGCTATCCTGGCTCCCAGGAGCTCAGCATGCTGGGCACCAAGGTCTCCTGGATGCCACAGGCACCTGCATGCGTGACTGTCCCTAGTTACCATGGTATCCATAGGGATGGTGGCCATCTCCTGCTGTGTAACCAACCACCCTCAAAATGGGGTGGCTTAAAACACCAAGAATCATGTATACTGTGTATGTATCTGCAATTCAGGCAGGGCTTGTTGGGACCACATTTTCCTGCTCACAATGCACCTTAGCTGGGATGGCTGGGGGCTCAGATCCCAGAGCCAGTGGCCCAAAGTCAGGTCCCTCGACCTGTCCAGTGCCCCTCTCAACCCAGGTTGCTTCTTGGGTGAAGGGTGGACGTCAGTGGTACCTGCAAGTTGCTGAGTCCTATTGCCCCTTCATTGTTCTCCCTGGAGCCATTTCTCACCAGAGGCTTCCTTCTCATGGCCAGCATAGAGCTCCCTAGTCCTGAAGGATTCAGGATAAAACAGCAGTTCAGTCCAATTGTCTGCAGTTTGACCTGAATGGGCTGATTCAGGGCACGGATGGAGACCACACCCTATGGGTGGTCCAGGGCCGTTACTTCAATTTAGAAGGTGGCCACATGAGCTACCACTCACTGGAAGAATTAGCAGTGGACATTCCTGGGCACCAAGGAAAGAATACGGAAAATTCTGTAGTATACACAGTGCTCCATAAAGATGTCTCAATCATCTTTTCATCCAGATGCTCGAACTGCTGGCTTACAGAAAAAAAATACAGCTTATACGTATATTTATCTTGCTTGGCCCCTACTCTGCTTTAAAAAAATTCTCTACTTTTAAAACCTGGGAGAGTTTGTGTTTAACAGTGGCTTTCTGGCTGGGCGTGGTGGCTCATGCCTACAATCCCAACACATTGGGAGGCCAAGGTGGGCAGATTTCTTGAGCCCAGGAGTTGGAGACTGGTCAGGAAAACAGGGTGAGACCCAATCTCTATGAAAAATACAACAAAATAGCCAAGCATGGTGGTGCACACCTGTGGTCCCAGCTACTTGGGAGGCTGAGGGTGAGGGGGTCACTGGAGCCTGGAGGGTGGAGGTGAGCTGAGATTGTGCTACTGCACTCCCATGTGGGTGACAGAGCGAGGCTCTGCCTCAAAAAGAAAAAAAAAAGGCCTTGTGACTTCTGTTGAAGAGACTGAAGGCCGTGGAGATGGGAGATGCCAGGTCACTTTCTCCCATGGTGCCCAGTGGGACTGAGTGGTTCCAGACATCCCGTGGCCTGGCCCCCTGCCTGGCTCCTTCAGGCTTCTGAGTCTGAGGTCCCCATGTCTTTCAGGGGAAACACAGTGGCAGGCAGTGCCTGGAAACGGTGTGTGTAGCGACATTTTAGTCCTGCATTTCACAGACTGCCTTGCCAGTCCCCTGTTAGTTTTGAACTGTGTTGTTTCAAGGCTTGAGCTGACACACGAGACAGGGTTGAGACTGACAGAACAAGAAGGGAGCTGGCCTAGGGATTCAGCCAGAGGCTGCGGACTCCGCGCCGTCAAGCGCAGGCTGCTGCTCTCCAATGACACCTAGTGAACCTGGAGAACTGCAGGTTAGCTGGGTGACGGTCCCAGGTGAGTAGGGCTACGAGGGTGGCAGTTTAGCATAAAGATTGTTTCCCAAATGCCGGGACAGAAGATCCTGCCAGTGTAAAGGAAGCATATTTGTCAAGGCTTCCCCTCCACACTGATAACATTTTTACTGCATGTCTCATAATCATTTTATTACCTATTAAATGCAAGTTCCCAGGTCCTAGTGCTTCTCCCTGCAATGGCATTGTTGTCACAGCAGGCCATTTCAGTCAGGACTGCTGCCTGCTGGAGAGGCGTCCTGAGTCAAGGCGCAAACTTTGTTCTCAATATAACATCACCCCAGGCCCCAGAAAAGCCAGGAGGCCTGGGAACTGAATGTTGAAGCGCAGTCTTCTCCCGGGGTCTGGTCCTCAGCCTGGAGTGCCTGCAAGGGCAGCCTGTGTCTCCTCGGGGCATTCTAGCAGGGGTAGATGTCACATCATTGTATTTCTCTGGCTCTACCGCCACTAGAAGAACCCCAGGCCTCTCAGGTGCTGCCTGGCATCTGCCGTCTTCCCTCTCTGATGCTGCTTCTGCCTGCTGATCCCTGCAGAGGCCACACAGGCTCCAGGGAGGCTGGCACGCCTGCACAACCACATCTGGACCTCTGGCACCCTGGCCATGTGTGGCCTCCAACAGGGACCCCAGGCTGTCCTTACGGCCCACCCCACTGCTGCTGCCCTTTAGGCACAGTTATCAGCCACAGCAGAGCTGCCTGGGCCCCTCACCTGGAGCTCTGAGTGTCACTGATCTTTGCAACTTCGTCTTCAGGGCTCAGCTCTGGTCCATGGGGCTGGGGCTGAGGATGACCCAAGCGACCGACACCATGCGGCGGGTTTTGCTTGCACATTGTTCATGAGTGTGAACTCCTTCTGCCATTTACCTGAATAAATAATGTTAATAAAAATAATAAAATAATAATAAAAATATATAATTTAAATAAAAAATTTAGACCCCCAAACTGGTCTGGTTCCTAGGCCTGAACACAGCTCAGGTTCCCACTGGGACCCTGGACACGGGGCCGCACACGGGCTAACCCAGAACATCAGCTGCACAGGGTGTTTTCCTGACCCCTCAGATAAAATAGGGCCCCACCCCTCTTGGCAACCCTCTCAGTCCCTTCCTCTGCTTATGTTTGCTTCTTATTGCTTCCTGTTCTATTTTACTTTATTTTTTATTTATTTTCTGTCTCTGGTCACGAGAACATAAACACTTTGAGAGGAGTAACTTTGATGTTGCTGAGCACTGTATTCCTAGCACCCCGAATGGTGCCGGGCACACAGTTGGTGCATAATAAATGTGCTGAGTTAAAAGGTAAGAGCGGAGAGGGGTTGGTTTTCTATTCTATGACATGACTTCTTCCTTTCACTTATTAGACACGGCTAAGGAACCGAAGACACAGGGAGCGAAAGATACTCTAGGAGAGACATGCTGGGCTCTGCTTTCTGTAATCTGCCTTGGCAATAAAAATGGCCAAGGAGAGGGAAGATGCTATGGTTCTTTCCAAGCTGGTACAGGCTTGATCACTTTGAATGACAAAGACATTCCTAGGAGATGAGGAAACAGCTAGAGCTCCTGGCCCAAGTGTAGCAGATTGTTCTGAGTCAGATTGTGCCTTCTCTAGCATGGACACGCCATGTCTTCTACTCGGCCTACTCAGCATCAATCAATATCCATAGTAGAAGGATAATGTGCCTGGCACTATACTAGGCGCTGGGTAGAGAATGACAGATGACATTTGGGATTGAGACAAGAAATTATTAAACAAATGAAGATAATTTCAGCTAGTGACAAGTTCTTTATAGACAATCACAGCAGGTGACGTGACGGGTTGGCATCTTGTGGATATTGATGTATGCCCACTGTGAAAGGATGTCTATTGGATATCTGACTCTGGGTTTTCAGAAGACTATAGAACTAAGCCTTTTACATTGAATTTTAAAATATCTAAACCCAACCAGGGGACTAAGAGAGCTTAATCTGGAAGGTTTCACTGCACTTACGAATTTACTGAAAATTCCCCACCACCTGTTATTTTCCTGTTGAAGATGGTTTATATGTCAAATCTGGGTTCGTGATTCTATCCCACTTACCTTTCTTACTCATTTCCAATTTTTAACTGTCTTGGTTCTAATAAGTATTTATTAAGAGTTTGCCATGTGTCAAGCTTAGGAGCAAGAGATGCTGAAATGAATGTGACAAAGGCAAGTGGGTCTTCTTAGTGGCTGAGGACGGAGGCTGTGGAATCAGGCAGGTCTGGGCTCAAATCCTAGCTCCTGCCCTTCCTCCCTAGCAGCTAGCTCCTGGTTATTAGAGACGTTTTCTTTTTTTGTAAAATGGGACCAATCATCTCCAACTTGCAAAGTTGTTTAAATGAGATAAATGTGGTCTCCCACAGAATATGTTTGATAAAGGGAAGCCATTTCTCGCCTGAGACACCTGGTTTCCAGGAACAAGCCGGACCCTGAGGCGATTCAATGAGGCTTTCTCCTGAACGGGGACCTCACAGTTAAGGAACTGGTGCAAACAGAGGCTCCAAATGCTGTCTAATGTCCCAGAATAGTGTGGCACAGAAGGCCAGGGTGGTGACTAGGGATGGTACATTCTCTGTGCATGGGACATGGGCACTTCATGTGGGAGCAGCTGGCTTCTCTGAGGGCTGTGGCTCCTTTTGGACACAGTTATTAAACCTCGTGACAATGTGGAAGATCTAATAATAGTGTTTTCCACCCCAAGAGCAGGGGGCTGCTTTGCATATTTTGCGAACTTTGTAGATCCCTAACTGACTTGGGAATGTGAAACATGCCTACGGAGAGCCTTGCTTTGTTTGTTCTTATGCTTTCACGCAAACATTGAGCAAGAGGAATTTGCCATAAATAGGTTGCAATTATTTAGTGAAAAAATAGAAAAATAAAGTTGGGCGGGCACTAGTCAGACTTCTGGACAAATGCAAGCTTTCTCAACGAACGGTCAAGCGGAATGGCACGCCATAGATGCTGGCTACGGACCTATGTTCATCCCAACTCAACTCTGCGCCAAGTCTGCCTCCAGGGCCTCATGCCTATGAGCGCCTTGGAATCACGGATGAGTGAAAAACCCACCCACTGGGACACATTCACCCACATGAAGGGTCAGCCTTAGACAGATTTTGGGGAGTAATTCTCAGCTTTAGGAGGCCAGGGGGGAAAACTAAGAAATTCTGCAAAAGGATTAGTGTGGAACTTTAATCTAGGTTTTTCTCTGTAATTGCTGGTCTTTCACGTTTAGAAGATGCAAGCTCAGTGTGGCAAGCTCGTGAAAGGCCATCTACTCTTTCTGCCACTTCCCTCATCACCAGGAATCTACTGTTCCTGTGCATGTGTGTGTGCACACGCATGCTTGTGTGTGTGATGAAGAACCTTTTCTTATGACTCCGTTATGGTGCTATTTCTGGAAAGTCACTACAGTAAGAGAAAAGTCTTGATTTGTGTATTCAGTAAGCTACTGTGACAGAAGAACACAGGGAGTCGATCTTTCCAGAGGCCCGTGGGACTGTCCAGGTGCAGGATACTTTGCTAATGGTGTTGATACCATTTTTTATAAACACATTCTTCTTTGTACTGCAATTTGCATACGACATTTCCATGATTCTGCAGAATTCATGAGTTGAAATCTCAATTGTTATAAACTTTGCAAGCTACTTTAGAAATAATTATATAAACTCAGCAGAAGCTAGATTTCCATTCTTGCTTTATCAGTTTTCTGGTCTCCGCTGGGACCGCCTCATGAATATTTGATGTATCCATGGTCCACAGGTAAGGAGACGAGCATGTTCTGCTGTAGATGAAGTGGGAGGTTTTTCTTTCCACAAATGGAACCTGAGAGGAGCTATTTTCCCCTACCTTCTTTCTCAAATGGAGCCACCGTGCAAAAGATGTAAATGACACAATTGTCTGCATGCTGTGTGCACATGTGTGTTTTGACTAACCGTGGGAATACTGTTCAGGTATTTTTTAGATTGATTACTTCTACCCGCAGATTTGGTGTCAGCTCTGGGCCTTTCATCAGCGGCCTTTCTGGTTGAATGAGAAAAGCAAGGCAGCAATGCACTGTGTGGAGAGAACATGTGCTTTCTGCTCACCGACGGGGAGAGGGTCTGTCACCCCAAAATGACAACATGAAGACAAGGCAAACACAGTCTCCTCTTTCTAGCCATACCCATTAGCTTTGGAAAATGTGTCTTCTGAAATTCTACCTCCTCCCACCCTGCCATCCAAATAAGGGTTCTTTCCAAGAAAAACATCAGCAGTTCCAGTTCCGCTTCCAGTATCTTGCATGGGAAGTCTCTGTTTTAACAGGGGGCTGCTGGGTGTGTTTCAGTGTTTCCAAGGGTATAATAAAGCGGTGTGCACGCTATCGACCTTATTAGAAGCTGATGACAGGTATTTGGGATCCATGGAGAAGCGTGTAAAGATGGAGGAGACTGAACCAGATTCCCGTGGTACTTTAATAATGAAACACATCCCTAACACAACTCACACAGGCTGAGTTTGTCACCTCCTCCTCTGCTCCCAGAGGTTTCTATCATATTGCAACTATGGAACTCATATGTTAACATGACTACCTAGGCCTCATAGCCTGGAGCTCTGAAACCTAAGGACATGACTTGCTGACTTTGGATCCTCAGTGCTTAGAGCAACATTTAGGTAATAAAATAGTAGCTACTGATTAAGTGGTTGATTTCAACTGCTTTATCATTAACAAGGATTCCCATATGCATTAGCTTATCTATCTGAAGATTCTGGATGTTCTGTCCCTTCAAGGTCTCTCTGAATCTTCAGTTCAGCCCTATGTTGACCAAAATCATAGTTCAACATCATGAACCAAACAACTAATCAATTAACTTACCACTCTTTAATCAATTGACTTTACACTGTATGTATTTAAAATCAATCATTTATAAACACAAGCAGCTCTAAAATTGCTTTGGCATCTTGGGTTTTAATCTTTAAGAAAAATGGAATCATCTTTGAAGGAAAATGAGAAGAAAAAAACATTTTACATATTCCATATTATCTGAATTTTTCTGAATCAAAGGGCTTTTTTATCAAAACTCACCTATTTGGACAGAAGATAAAGAAATGATTAAGAGGCCGGGCGCGGTGGCTCAAGCCTGTAATCCCAGCACTTTGGGAAGCCGAGGTGGGTGGATCACAAGGTCAACAGATCGAGACCATCCTGGTCAACATGGTGAAACCCCGTCTCTACTAAAAATTACAAAAAATTAGCTGGGCGTGGTGGCACGTGCCTGTAATCCCAGCTACTCAGGAGGCTGAGGCAGGAGAATTGCCTGAACCCAGGGGGCAGAGGTTGCGGTGAGCCGAGATTGCGCAATTGCACTCCAGCCTGGGTAACAAGAGCGAAACTCTGTCTCAAAAAAAAAAAAAAAAAAGAAATGATTAAGAGGAGAATGCACAGTTAGCCTGCATATGGGATTCTCACACTTTAAGGCAACACCTAAACAGAAAAATATGTCTGGGTGGGATCCAAAAACTTTCTGTTCCAGCAAGTTCCCCAGTGATGGTGACAATGATAATAATGGTGATGGTGATGCTGGTAATGGTGGTGATGGTGACAGTGGTGCTGGTGGTCATGATGCATGATGGTGATGATGGGGTGCTGTTGGTAGTGGTGATGGTAGTAATGATGGTGGTGGTGGTGGCGGCAGTGGTGGTGGTGGTGATGGTGGTGGTGGTGGTGGTGGTGGTGATGGTAGTGGTGGTGGTAGTGGTGGTGGTGGTGGTGGTCATAGCAGTGGTCATGGTGGTGATGGTAGTGGTGGTGTTGGTAGTGGTAGTGGTGGTGGTGGTCATGGTAGTGGTGGTGGTGGTCATGGTAGTGGTCATGGTGGTGATGGTAGTGGTGGTGGTGGTAGTGGTGGTGGTGGTAGTGCTGGTGGTGGTAGTGGTGGTCATGGTAGTGGTGGTGGTGGTAGTGGTGGTGGTGGTAGTGGTGGTCATGGTAGTGGTGGTCATGGTAGTGGTGGTGGTGGTAGTGGTGGTGGTCATGGTAGTGGTGGTGGCAGTGGTGATGGTAGTGGTGGTGGTCATAGCAGTGGTTATGGTGGTGATGGTAGTGGTGGTGTTGGTAGTGGTGGTGGTGATCATGGTAATGGTGGTGGTGGTCATGGTAGTGGTCATGGTGGTAATGGTGGTGGTGGTGGTAGTGGTGGTGGTGGTGGTGGTGATGGTAGTGGTGGTGGTGATGGTAGTGGTGGTGGTAGTAATGGTAGTGGTGGTGGCAGTGGTATTGGTTGTGGTGGTGGTGGTGGTGACAGTAGTGGTGGTGGTGGTGGTGCTGGTGGTGATGGTTGTGGTGGTGATGGTGTGGTAGTGATGATGATGGTGGTGGTGGTCATGGTCATGGCCACAGTCATGGTGGTACTGGTGGTGTTGGTGGTGATAGTAGTAGTGGTGATGGTAGTGGTAGTGATGGTAGTGGTTATGGTGGTGGTGGTAATGATAATGGTGATGGTGGTGGTGGTGATGGTCATGGTCATGGTGGTTTTGGTAGTGGTGGTGGTGGTGCTGGTGGTGATGGTAGTGGTAGTGGTGATGATGATAGTGGTCGTAGTAGTGGTGGTAATGATGGTGGTAGTGGTGATGATAATGGTGAGGTGGTAGTGGTGGGTGGTGATGGTGGTGGTGGTGATTATAATGCTAAGTGGTGATGATGGTGATGGTGATAATGGTGGTGGCAATGCTATTGGCCTGGACACCACACTTGGAGAACCCTGAATTCAATCAGAGAAGGAATATAAACGTTTGGAATTGAATTTATCCATTGTTAGATGTGATACAATCAGGTGGATGTCTTGTCATTGGACAAAGTTTCTCTTTCTATATGTCTTACTGCTTTTCCCTATTAAAAAAAAATCTGGACCAGGTGCAGTGGCTCATGCCTATAATCCCAGTATTTTGGGAGGCTGAAGAGGGTGGATCACTTGAGCCCAGGAGTTTGAGACCAGCATGGGCAAAACCCCCCTCTACCAAACAATTTAAAAATGAGCTGGGCACGGTAGTACATACCTGTAGTCCTTGCTATTACGAAGGCTGACGTTCTCCTGAGCCCAGGAGGTCGAGGCTGCGGTGAGCCATGATGGCACCACTGCACTCCAACCTGAATGACAGAGGGAGACCCTGTCTCAAAGAAACAAAAAACAAAACTTCTGTATATATTTGACAAAGACACCAGATTGGGAGGACGGCAGAATAGTGGAGTATTGAACAACCAGCTCTCAGCAATAATAACAACAAAAGCCCTGATTTGCAGCATTTGCCTCTGGGGTGCATCTCGCTCTCCTGTGGTCACCCTCAAGCTGCAGCATGAATTCAGGGGGCCAGGAGTTGGGGAGGGCTAGCGGCACACACTTTGAATTAGACACATGCCCAGCCCTATTTCCTAAAGCCACGTGTTACCTTCTGGTCATGTGGCCTAATCTCCTTAAGGATCCTTTTTCTTACCTGTAAAACAGAGATAGTAACAGCCCCTTGGGAGCTGGAAAAGTAAGCAAGCCCAGCTGCCCAGAGCCTGGCTCCAGCACTCCACAGCAGTAGCCGGGAGGTCCGGGCAAAGTACTGCCCGGTCTCGGCCACCTGTGCGGAAGTGGACAAAGCCTGTTTGAAATAAGTCCTTTTGTAAAATGCTGTCTCATCATCTTCATCTCTATTGTATAAACCTTCCTGTGGGATGTTCCGTAAGTCTGCTTCCACATGATTACCGAATTTGCTGCAAGAACAAATTTAATTTCTCTTCAATTTGTTCACTTGTTTCTTTGTTCTAGTACCCAGAAGCTTTTGTCTTTGGGACGCTAGAAGACTACACCATATGGATCACTGGGGTTTTAAAACCATTGATTCCCTCATTTTCTTGGGCAAATTCATAATCTGAACCTGGGTCGGGTACTTGGATTGTAAGCTTTCTTGCATTCCTTCTGCACATCCGTGAGCTAACGTGTTGGCAACTTGTGAGCAGTGAAAAGTAGGCATGGGATATATAATGGTGAAACAGACTGGAAGCAAGGCAGGGGTTGGTGAGTAAAGTTTACCTCATCACAGGATGCCCCTCACACAGCCATCAAAAATGACTTTTGGGAAGTGTTTCTAAGAACATAAAAAATTCTATGACTTGTGTGACAAAAGCAGTACACACACACAGACACACACACATACATATACGTAGATGACTCTTGAACAATGTGGTGGTGAGGGGTGCTGACCCCACAAAGTCGAAAATCGGTGAATAACTTTTGACTCCCTCCAAACTTAATGATAACTCAGAGTACAGTATATAAATCAGTGTCCCTATGAGCTGAGAACTCACACTGCAGCCGTCTCCACTCGCCACGCAGGCGATTATCTGAGCATGCCTGGTAACCCACAAGTCTTTGCATGCCTCTGTCATCCTACACACCGAATGTTATTGTAACAACATATTTATGCATCTGTTTCATATGTTAGACCAGAGGTTCCTGGAGGGCAGGACTGTGTCTTCTTTTTTGTACCCCTGGCACATGGATTTGTTCAGAACGTATGTGAATGACCTTATCTCAGGAATGGAGAGGCCAGTCATACAGTGCAGGCCACAGAGGGGTCCTGAGCCCTTTGAGACACAATGTTCTTAAAGCTCCTTGTGAGTTAATCTGTCGGACAAAAAATTCTTTCTTATGTCCCAGCAAACCCGTTTGGGCTTTAATGTAAATCCCCTTTTTCACAGTACCGAAGACCTCGAAGAGTACTGATTAGTATTTGTTACATAAAAACACTGATGTCCCTATATATGTGCTTATACCTCTCTTATAGTAAAAAGGATTTCAGTTGACTTATAAATCTCCATGAAATAACATGAAAGCAGCAATAAAAAGAAATAAAAGCCAGTGGAGCACGATGGGGACACAAGCAACTAAGCCTCAAGGAACTGGAACACAGAGCTCAGCCTGCCAAGATGTTCATTCCACCTGCAGCTTTTTGCATTTTAGCTTACCTCGCTCAGGCTGGCTTTGTCCACATGGTGACTAAGATGTTTCCAGGCTCCCATATACCTCTTATCTCTCAGCATCACATCAGAGAGTGATCAAATCTTTTTCTCTGGTTGCACTTTAACAAATCCCAGGGAAGGATGTGATGAGTCAGGATTAGGTCAGGTGCCCACCCAGAAGCAATCGACCATAGGTGGATGAATGTGGGAGGGACCCTAAGACTGACTGACTGCTAGTCAGGGTACTTCCCTAGTCAACAGAGTCTGACCCAAGAAATGAGGTTGCGTAAGAACTTGGAAGCCGCATTTGAAACCTAAGGCTGGAGAGGTGGAAGCAGCTCTTCTTTGATGAAGAGGGGAGAAAGCTGAACAAACAGACACAGATGTCCTTCACAGCTCCTAACCCCGCAGGGATCACATGGGCGGCAGTCACAGCGGAGTAGTCAGGGCGAGCAGATAGCATATTACAAAGCAACTTATTTACTGATCAGATACTATGGCCCCCAGAAGCTCAAGGTATGGGAAAGACAGAGGCAGGAACCCTATAGCCCAAAGACCACACTGTCTTCATTCATATATAGAGTTCATTCATAGGGTCTTCTTTCTCAATTATTCTTAGGAAGCAAATAACAAATATAAGGTCAAAATAAGGAAATGTTTAAATCTGTTTTTATATGCTACAGAAACTATATAAATTTATATGCAGCAAACAATAAAAATATGGTAGTGAAATCATTTTTAAAGATTGCTTGACTGGGTGTGGTGGCTCATGCCATTAATCCCAGTACTTTGGGAGGCAGAGGCAGGTGGATCCCAAGGTCAGGAGTTCCAGATCAGCCTAGCCAAGATGGTGAAACCTCATCTTTACTAAACACACAAAAAATAGGCAGGCATGGTGGCAGGCACCTGTAATCCCAGCTACTCGGGAGGCTGAGGCAGAGAATTGCTTGAACCAGGGAGGCAGAGGTTGCAGTGAGCTGAAATCACTCCACTGCATTCCAGCATGTGGAACAGAGGGAGACTCCATCTCAAAAATAATAATAATAATAATAACTGCTCTACAATAAATGCATTTTAAGTATTTAATAAAAATGATAATCCTTAATAACTCTCAGTCCTTAGTTTTGTGGCTTCTTTGTGACCTCCTGCAGCTCTGCCAGGTTTCACAAGACCTTGATGCTACAGGGTTGGCAGCTTCTGTCACCATTTAAGAATAATAGAGGGCATACATGATCTGGGTCAGGCACTGTGCTAAGTGCTACAGGTACAGTGCTGAGCAAGACAAAATCTGCCCCTGCCCTCACAGAGCTTATGTATCAGTTTGTTCTCACACTGCTAGAAAGAAATACCTGAGACTGGGTAATTTATAAAGAAAAGAGGTTTAATTGACTCATGGTTCCACATGGCTGGGAAGACCTCGGGAAACTTACAATCATGGCAGAAGGGGAAGGGGAAGCAGGACCTTCTTCACATGGTAACAGAAGAGGAAAGAGTGAAGAATGAAGTTGCAAGAGCCCCTTATAAAACCATGAGATCTCATAAGAACTCATTCTTGTCAGAACAGCATGGGGGAAACCACCCCCATGATCCAGTTACCTCCCACCCAGTCTCTCCCTAGACCATATCAGCTTACATTCTAATGGGTGGTTCAACTACAAACAAGCATTATAGATGTTGTCTTAAGGACAAAACATTCAGGGAACCATAAAAGTTTCAAATAAATGAACCTATGGCCACAGAGCAAAAGGATTCATACCATAGAAATGGACTCCAGGGCCGGGTTACCTAGAAATACAGAGGAGGGGAGGGCTCCAGGCACACACAGACCAATTGGAATAGGGGTTAGAGAGCTGGAAGGGTAAGATGTGGATTTTCCTTCTCTGTAGCAATTTGTATCTTTTGGTTTCCAAAATAAAAATAAAATTAAGCAGGGTGTGGAGGCATGCGCATATAGTTCTAGCTTCTTAGGAGGCTGAGGTGGGAGGATCACATGAGCCCAGGAGGTTCCCTGAGCTATGATTCCTCCACCTAACGCCAGCCTGGGCAACAGGGTGAGACCCTGTCTTTAAAATAAATGAATAAATAGTCAACTTTTAAAAAAACCATAGATGGGATAGTTCTCATTTAGTTCCAACAAAAATGCCTTATACCTGGTAACTATGTTTAATTCATTGACATACTGCAAGAGAAGCAGAAGAAAACTCTTCTCTCTTGTATTTACGGGAGTGAATTATTACCTTTTTAATTCAAGATTAAAAAGAAAAAAATGCTGGGTGTGGTGACTCATGCCTGTAATCCCGGCACTTTGGGAGGCCGAGCTGGTGGATTACCTGAGGTCAGGAATTGGAGACAAGCCAGGCCAACATGGTGAAACTTCGTCTCTACTAAAAATAAAAATGTTAGCTGGGCTTGGTGGCACATGCCTGTATTCCCAGCTACTATGGAGGCTGGGGCAGGAGAATTACTTGAACCCAGGAGGCAGAGGTTGAAAAACTCCCTAAGCTCATTATAAACAAACAAATAACAGCTGAACTAGAACACTAGTTAAGAAAACATAAAGCTGCATTAGGAATGTGAGACGTCTTTATAAATGCCATAAAGGAGATGGGTGTTTTTGAAAGATTGCTCATTTTTAAAGAATAACTGTATCAGTCAGGATAGGTCTAGGTTACGCTGCAGTAACAACGATCCTGAAAATCTCAGTGGCTTAAATAACAGTAGGTTGTTTCATACTCATGCTACATAGACATCACATGTTGGCAGGGGGTTCGACCCCTCATAGTCCCTCAGGTTTGGAGGTTCCAAACTGCACCACCATTTCTACAGTAAGGTGCTTGGTGAATCATGCATTTACTTAAAGCTTCTGCATGGAAATGACACACATCACTTAACTTACCTTTGACCTACTTTAAGTGGGGCAAGAGAGTGCAATACTGCAGCAGTGATTGGCTTCACAAAAAATAAGAATCATTGGAGTGTTATTCTTAAGCATAGGGAATCTATCTAAGCTACATTTAATTCCATAAGTTTTACTTTTTAGAAGATATTTTCCAAGGCTTTAATCATCTTCACTTGAATTCATAGAGGAATGGAGTCTAATTTCTCTCCTTTTGAATCTAGGCTGAAATTAGTAAACCCTGGAGCAATAGAAAGTGGCAGAAGT